AAAGCCCTAACCAGCAGTACCTTAGAATGCGACTTGCACTATATTTGAGAATAGGGCCTTAAAGAGGTAATCAGGGTTAAGTGGGGTGCACATGGGGGGGTCCTAATCCAATCAAACTGGTGTCCCTATAAGAGGATGCTAGGACACGCAAAGAGACACCGAAGATGGGTGACACAGGGGAAAATCCAGGGGTTGGAAAGGCCCCATCTGTAATCCCAGGGGAGAGGCCTCAGAGGACACCCACTCTGCTGACCCCTTGATCTTGGACTTCCAGCCTCCAGAACTATGAGAAAATTAATTTATACTGTTTAAGCCGCCCCTCGCCCCAAGTCTGTGGTGTCAGGTAATGGCAGCCCGAGCACACTCATATGGCACCCACGTCCTACATGCCCCATTCATCTGCCTTTGTCCTAGGAACAAGCTCCCCAGTCCCTGGCACCATCTTTAGGAGAGAAATGGCCGCTGAAGCGAGGCAGGAAACCACGTCCGTAAAGAACAGAGGCCCCAGCACAGAAGGGCCAAGTTTTAGGCACCCTCTCCCTGCCCGTCGGGGGCTGGTGCCCAGACATCTGTAGAGTTATCCACACATGGAAGAGGGACCGCAATCTTTCGGGGCAGGCCCAGAGGGCAGAGCCAGAATCCGCATGTGCAAAGTCTGAGGAGACAGATTTCGCACACGACACGAGGACAACTTCCAGTTGGCTACGGTTGTTTCGAAACGGAGCGACCAGCCATGTGAGGGTGTGGCGTCGGTGATTCTGTGGGAGGTGAGCAGAATGTGGGACACACCAGCTCTGACCCGCACTCATCTCTCCTCAAAGCACTAGGACACAGGGCACGACGTCTCTCCAGAACTCTGAACTGCTGGCTGGTCCCACCCTCCTCTCTCCGTCCGCCCTCCACCTCTCTGCTCTGGCTGTGACACCCACTCTCCATTCCAATAGCAACTCTCCCCACAGATCTGAGGCACACCGCTCTCTCCCTACCTTCCGGGCTGTTTTCACTCCCTGAAGGTTTGCGGCACGTCCTAACTCACACTGACTGCCCGGACCATGCACCGGCCCCCGGCCCCTACCCCAGCCTTGGGATGGATCCCAGACATACCCAGAAAAAACATCATTTTCAGACCCAGAGCCCAGACATCCAGCTAAGGTATCTCAGGCAAGTTACCTGACCTCTCATATCACGGTTTACCTGCTGGCTTCATTTATATTGGGGAAAATTAAAAAAAAAAAAAAAAAAGCCCAACAATAGAGGGCATTAAATATTAAGGTATATATCCACGAGGGAATTTTATATATGCAGTAATAATGTCACAGAAGAATATTTACTGACACCGAGAAATGCTCATGAAACATTAAGACAGAAATGAAATTGCAAAGCACGGTTTACGATAAACGCATTTTTGGAGAAAATACCAATGCGGAAAGACTTTATATAATCATAAAGCTAAGAGTCATTATTTTCAAATTATTCTTGTTTTATACTTCCCAAGTTGTCGAAAGTGGACATGTTAATACTTTTTAACTATGAAGTTATTTAAAAAATGTCTTTGCCACTCTTATTTTGGCTATTTCTTCCTCAAAGAAAAAAAAAAACAAGGCTACAACCCATCGACACAGCAACCTAACGAGAAGACACAGTGAGTCCGTGACATGAGCCTACTTACTCTGGCCGACAATACAACGAGCCATGTTTTGAACTTGAAGAAATAGGACAGCTAAGAAAACTGAGCTAAGGGAGGGTCACCACATGGGCTAGAGGCAGGAGCGGACTCTCAAGGAGTCAATTCTTGGACCCCATCGAATGGCTTCCACTGCCACCCTGCCTGCCCCGTCCCTCTAGGAAGAAAGCGAGCGCCACGTGCCACCCACGGGTCATTGTCTAGCCACGCCGGAGGCTTGGCTCCCGCACTGGTGCCATAGTGAGAAGCCTGCCAGGTTCTGTCCCCTGGTAATGAGCTCCCTTGGCTCCTTCCCCACGGTGCAAAGGAGCAGCCGCAGATTGGTGCCAGCCAGCGAAGCCCCTTGTCAGCGGCCCATCCAGGAATCCTCGAGTCTGGCAGCGGCTCGGCCACAAGAGGCCAAAGCAAATGGTCATTTCAGTGGACAATATCGGCCTGACTCAAGATGGAATGCGTCACTTCCCCCTGGTAGTAGTGGGGTCTACGACATGGCGAGACGCCCATCTGGGCACTCGCTGTGCAGGCAGCCCAGGGGCGGGTCCCACCACCAGTGACCTGCGGCCTGAACACTGAAAGGTTACCCTCCGTCTCCCCGCTGACACCCATAGGAAAGCATCAGCAGTGAACAACCTGTGTTTTGCACATGCAATATTTCTGAGCCTTCCAATCTCCAGCCCACGCTCACATTTTAGGCCTATGACCAGACAGCAAGGTGTGGGCCTCGTTCTCTTAACCAGCTTTGTGGGAGCTGGAACCGGAAGGCACGCATGCTATCCCACCCCAGTGGGCACACATTTATACCCACAGTCCCAGCGCCAGCCCCTTTAGACGTGCCTCCTCTCTGTAGGGAGTTAAGAGGCCATGATTCATATTGATTCTGTTCAGTGGGCTCCCCCTAATACTTGCAAAGCAAAGTTAAGTGGCTTCAGGAACTAGCTCCTTAGCAGAGGAGATAAATGAGATAAAATATTCTCATGATCACAAATACTTTTTTACGACCTGTACAATTAGTGAATGAACCAGCTATGTTCTGCATAGACTACAGTTCTCTTAAATTGCTCCTGGAGAATTCAAACCGTGCCTGGACTAGAAGGCCACCTATTGAGGCCAATCTGTGCAGAAGGCTTGCTCCGTGCTGCTCTCTGTGAGCTCAGACCCACGAAACCTGTTCGGACACACTCGGAGAGTCCACCTCCACGGCCGCGTGCTGTCAGGTTTTGGAATCTGGCCTGATGGACAGAGCGATCAAGACGCCCATGCACCATGCAAACAGGAGACACTCCCTACTCAGAACGTCCAGTCTGGCTGAAACACTCGTCCTGCCACTGACCGCCCGGCTACACACCCACAGACGAGGGCTCAAACCGCCCCCACGCCCGCCCTCGCCCCC